GTTAATACATATTTTCTACTGAGTTCAGACTCTAATCTCTATTTTCGTAAATTGATTTTTACAGCCTCAATTTTCCCATTACTTTAATTCGCATTTGTTCATGGTACACTAGGAAAAGAATCGCAATCCTTTTTTTGAAACTTTCATTCAGATAATATATGTTAACGGAGAGTACTCACCGTAAGGTCCAGAACTCTGATGTAATACACTTAGAAAAGAGTCGAAATCCTAGTTTTGAAACTTTACTTCGGATAATATGTGTCAATGGAGAGTACTCACCGTAATGTCCAGAACTCTGATGTAATACGATTTTAAGGTGCCATCTTTCACAAGGCATGCTACTCCTGTCACGATATGACTCCATCGTGTTCGATCCTTGGGAAGGGCGAGGTACAACTGCACAATGCCTGTTGCTAATGACTGAAAAGTGGATGAATTGAATGAACAGCATATTATGAATTAGCGGACGAACGAACTCATAAACAAACGAATTAATGAATGCATAGGTGAGTTAAGAATTTGCAAAACGTGAACGGCCTTGGAGTACAAGAGAGCAAGGGAGTGCTTTTCAATTGAGGATCGTTAAAAAAAACCATAGAGAGTACAATGGCTTATTAGAGTACCATCAAAAGGAGCTTATTTTACGACTAGAAAACTTGAATGATCACGTTGTGAGGGTGGTGAGAGTTTTCTAACCAATCAGTTATGAAGGTTGAAACACATCAATTCCACATTCTGGATTACTTTCGGCACTAAACGGAAAGTTGCTTCAATAGCCTCTGCTGGAGCAAATGAAAGGGGAAGTTCCTTATTGTTTTAATTTCAAAATCCCTTTTTCCTCATATATGTCTATCTACATATTTAAACAGACACCGATATCTATAAATAGCTTACGCCGCGTAAAAGCTCATACAAACAATTTAAAAAGTACTTCAGTCTTGAGCACTCACATATTTCTTTTGTCCTAACATATCACGAATCGTTTCATTCTCTTCGTCGGTGAGTAAAACGGACGGAGCGTGTTTCTTTTTAGTGGGCATTTTAAACTATAGCCCTTGAACGACGAGGTAATGTTTTACATTCGTTGAGACGTATGTAAAGATGCTAGAATAGTGCGTTTGTTGACGTCAATATAATTTCAAAGAACCTATAGCGCGTGCGCGGATGGCCTTCTTTTGGGATGCCTTCGAGTACTTTTGGCAACTTGGTTCTAGCTAGAAATTGCCTTCGGAAGAGAGGCAGGCTTTTCATTTTTCTGAAACTTGACTATATCGGTAATACTGGCCTTTTTGCCTAAGTCAAAACTGCGACAAGGAGCAAGCATGTGAATGCACGGCTTTAGTTTACCAGGGATAGTCCTGATTCATTTTGAGAGAGAAGTTTCGGTTAAGAAAAAGAAGCTTATATGGAAAGCAAAGAACGTGCATCACTTCTTTTTCTGTTTTCGCCGTGCAGCTGATTTATTTTTAATATTACCATAGGTTACGTCTTTTTTCGCCCTTCATGTCTCAACAAAGGTTTCATTGCAAACTTTGTAAAGATTTAATTACTCACCAACGGAAAGCGTTGGTTACTATTATTCATTTATATAAACTTCTTTGAGACAATTCCTCGCAAGGAAAACACCTTTCTTGCCAGTATTGCATTTAAGATCATAATGAGAAAAGTGGACAAAGGACCGGTTATTGCAAAAGCTCTAGATAATGATATCGTCGAACAGGCGAAATTAAATTCCAGGCTGCCTTTTCAGTTTCAAGTGTCAGTTTCATTTCTATTGCTTGCTAAGTCGATGAGTTTTTTTGTTGTTGAAATCTTAACTAAAATCATCATTTGCAGCTGTCTCACTTTGCTGCGTTTAGAGTGTCCCACCTTGTCATGATGTAAGGAAAACACCAGTCTTCTCTGATCTTGTTAAAAAAAAAAAATTAACTTTCAGTGCTATGAAAAAGCGAAAGTCAAACCCGGGAATCTAGTATTCCACCTTTCCTGAGCTGGTTTTGAGTATATCACGAAAACCTGCACCAAGAAGGCCTGAAATTAACCGATACCTCAACGAAAATTTTTAATCTTGGAGCAAAATGTTTAACGATACAACTCCATTTGTGATAAACGCCGCTATCAACTTTCCATTCTGTGTTCTAGCCATTGTGGGTAATCTATTGATTCTCGTGTCATTTGCACGCACTCCATCATTGGTATCGCCTTCAAATGTGTTACTGATCGGTCTCGCACTGACCGACCTCTGCGTTGGACTAATTGTACAGCCTGCGTACATCGCGTGGAAAATTCACCAACACTTTCAACTAGATCCAACACTTGTCGGATTCCTTGGAAGAGCAACCAGATTTGCTTCTAGTTTGTTATGTGGTGTATCATACATTATTGTGTCGTCTTTAAGTGTGGACCGATTCCTGGCTGTTCATCTTCACTTAAGATATCACGAGATTGTCACCGTACGCAGAGTTGCCTTCTTCTGCGCTTTTGTATGGTTTCCTTGTTCAGCGGCTTCTTCTCTTGGCGCTTGGAAGTATGGATATTTTGAGCTTTTTTCGGCTCCATTCGTCGGCATTTGCCTTCTCCTGAATGCAGTTCTGTATTCCAAAATTTATCGAGTAGTTCGGCGCCATCAGCTTCAAGTTTGGAATCAGGTGACTGTCTTTCAATCCACAGCGCAAATTAAAATATCAACTGGACTCAAGAACTCTTTTATCAACATTTTCTACCTGTATATAATCTGTTTGATTTGTTATGTTCCATATATGACAACTGCATTTATTTCTATTCTTCATTTTCAACAACGTGGTGACATGCACACACCTGTATCGGTTACTCTTGCTTTTGAAGTCTCCTGGACGATTACATTCATCAACTCTTCATTCAACCCGTTACTATTTTCCTGGAGGTTGAAGAATATTCGAGCCGCAGTTAAAAGAACTCTGAAGGATCTTTTATGTTAATTGTTTCAGCTGTTCAAGAAGTCATATTTAATGCTGTTCACTGATTCTAATGTGACGGTTCCTCTGGGATTATCCACGGGCTAAAATGAAATATGTGCAGGTTTGACAAACGTTTCTAGATACGAGAGAACAAGAATACCCGCGTGATTTTCTTTCTTGCCCCTTTAATTTGCAATCAGTCTCGTCACCAGAGCCTTCGTTACCCTTACTTAGCGGAAGAAAACTTTGACTCTTAAATAGGTGGTACAACTTACATATCGTGTTCCTAGCAACCTTGTTATATCAACCGTCGTGTTACCGAGGGCTTTAGATCTGGAAACGAAATCACTTTATGACTCATTTCTTCCAGTTCTAAGCTCTAAGTGAACCATCGGAGGATATGAAAGTGTTTGTATCTACCAAAGATCTCGTATCGTGAGTATTTTGAATGTGATTTGAAGAAAGTCGAAGTGATCAAATTTCTCCTCCTACCTGTTGCGGTTCTCTATTCTTTTACTAGATACCACGCTTAAAACATTTTATAAAACTGTCAGCCACGCGGTGATCGGTTTTCTATGTACGGGTTCAATAAAATACCTTTCAAAATTGGTCCTGAAATAAGCAGTTATGTTACTTTCCTAATATTTCAGTGTTTTGCGTCAGTGAAAGTTTAACAATATAGATTCTATAGAGAATGATACAGTTATCTTTGATTCTATTGTTTATACATTGTGAAGTCAAAACACTTTACACAACCCGACCAAAATAATATCTTCACAGAAAGGGGCAAACAAACATGCCACCTGACTCAAACACACATTAAATTTCAAAAGAAAATCACAACAAAGAATCTTACAAGTCAGCTACACGTCTCACTTTAGACTTCGCTTAACCAACCGCACGCGTGGCTCGGGTTTTACATATATTAGTCAATTTGAAATAACACACGCAGAATTCCTTTCCTTTTTTAACCGCTTATTGACTTTAAACAACTATATAATTTTTTTTTGCTTTCAACAGCTACTAAATAAAATCTTTATGATCGTTCAGTTAAACAGAATCTTCACGGTTCAACAGATCCAATCACAGGGACCAAAACAAGACAAAATAATTTGAATGCAACCAGCGAAGAGAGGAAAATCACAAGTTGTAATAACTTAAATTTATGTCTTAGGTAGTATAAAGTTTCTAACATGACATATCAATCAAATCTCTTTTGAAAACAAGCCGCCCACAGAATCTAATTCAATTTACTTACAACCTCCCAAATTGCTTGAAGCGATTAAATATTCAAGTACCAGTATTTTACCTTCTATCTGCAGGGCCCAAAGAGAAAAAAAATTGTTTTCATGATTTTAGTAAATAGAAAAAAATAAAAAAGGTCTAAGAAATTCATAGGGGTTATAGGACCTCTTCAAAATTCCAGCCTTTTCCTCCAATAACAAATGATATTAGACATATTTTTTGGCACAATTTTTTGCAGGCAATTTTGTTGGCCTTTGGTCCGAAGCAGTTGACTTTTAGCACTTTACATATACCTAGTTGAGTACTAAAATAATTCCATCTTGACTTCGGGGTTGAATATGCTGAACAAAATTTGTACAGTTTAAGTAGAATTGTATTCATCGCTTATTTCAACCAGGTTTTGAAAACGCCTTTCTGTCACAATTCAATTTGAAATAAAAGAAATTGTCTTGTACTGAGCTAAATCTTATCAAGTACTATTTTCAAATGCATTGACCACAAATCAAGCAGAGAAAAATATTACTTTTGGAATAGATTTTTCCATTGCCTTGAAAAGTTTTCTGAAAGTTTCACTTTATTTTTATTTAATCTACATCTTTTTAGGCTACAGCTGATTTCAACCCCCGCAAACCAGAAGCTTTGTCAGTTTAACTGGTACCTTAATCAATATTACATAATAATGACACAGGCGACTAATTGGCTTTGTTCTTGTGTCGCTGATTTCTCTTCATGGTCAAACAATAGTTATTCATGTTTGTCTTAACAGAGTCACCAACCCCTCCAGTTGGCGACTTGTTTAACCTTCAGTTCAAGTTTATTATGAACTCTTTCAACGATGAAGCGACATCGAACATAAACGTGGACATAAACGCCCTCACAAGCTTGTCACAACCGCAAAGCTCGTGCGTAGAATTTTCAAACACGGAAGCCGATTCACCGGTTCTTCTTGAAAGTGCGTTTTATTCACCCGGAGATTTTTCAGAGACCGAAGAAGGCTCTAGAACACCAAAACCCTCCATCGAATGTGTTGTTTGCGGAGATAAATCCTCTGGGAAGCATTACGGCGTTTTTACTTGCGAAGGCTGTAAAAGTTTTTTCAAGAGAAGCATTCGACGGAATCTCTCGTACACGTGTAGAGGATACAAGAATTGTCCAGTAGATATTCAACACAGGAATCACTGCCAGTATTGCAGACTCAAGAAGTGTATGAAAGTTGGAATGAGGAAAGATGGTAAGTTTGACCTTTGAACCATATATTTTAAGGTGTTTCTTCCCTCTAAGAAAGTTCTTAAAACAAATGTCCCGTGGAAGACAGGAAACACCAACCATGTTTTCTTAGTTTCGTTCCGGTACGCTGCTGCGCTAGTGATGAGGTGTGCAATAAATAAACTCATAGAGTTCAAGGTGATATTTGCCAACAATATTTCCCTCGAGAAGTTATCATGGGAATGATTCTGTCAAATATAAGAAGATTTTTGTTCTTATACAGTGTTTCATGGTATAAGCTCCGAGGTGCTCCCAAAAAAATTTAGCCCAAATTGGGGGGGGGGGGGGGGGGGGGGGGGGGGG